TGGTCAGAAAGAGCACTTGAAGTTGTATTTGAAACATACAAAAACTAATACGAATCATGACGTCTAGAAAAAGTTATTAGAATCTACACGACATCAACTAATTGCAATAACCAAGTAAAAATGACTGTTATCAACCTAACGTTGCTAGAAAAACAGACAGAAACAAAAGAAAAGTTTCGTACTTTCCTGTTATTCATGCAGATGTGTTCTTCTGAACAGCTGCCAAAAATTCGTCTCCAGTTCTTTTGCTGAAGAATCAGCAAACAGTTTTCTTTATCTCCATTGTCACTTGGATATTGGAATTAGTTGATGTCTTGTAGATTCTAATAACTTTTTCTAGACGTCATGATTCGTATTAGTTTTTGTATGTTTCAAATACAACTTCAAGTGCTCTTTCTGACCATGCTACTAGATTTGGCTGATGAAGTAAAGTTCCACTTATAATTTAAAATTTTCTGAAAAAATTCTTACACAATAAAACAAGTTTCTAGTGTGATCAACCGAAGTCCTTTTCAATTTCGCTTTTAATGGTACAATTTCGATTCTAATGATGTTATTTCGAGAAACCGCATCCACTTTCTTAGATTTAAATGGATAGGGATCATGAAAAAATCATCTCTTAGTCGAATTTGGCTATCAAATGATGAAAGCTCAGAAAATGTCTCAAATGATGAGCTTTTTCAAGTAAAATATTTCCTGATTAATTCTCAAAGCAAATGAAAAAGATAGAAAGCATTTAGTATGACAACAAACTGTTGCAACTGAAAGTTTAGTAAGCTTTAAAAGTAAAGAAAATATATTTTTCACAAAGGAGGGCCTATAATTATGTTATAATCGTTTTTCTTTTTTCTCAATTGTTTTCTTCAAATAAGAAGACACGAAAGAGAGAGACCAGGGTATCACTGAGTACTGACATATTCTCACATACCCAAATCATTATCAGATCAATATCATTCATTGTTGAAATGACATAAACATTTTTGTATGGATATAGAAAGGGGGGGGGGGGGCTATCATTATGCTATATGTTGTACATCCGATTGTCAACTTCTACGAGGAAAACCCCACTTTAAGTTATTCTTTTGGAAACGATTCATAACGAGTTAAAGAATATGAATAGGCTGTAATAAAAACGTTGCTTAGAGCATCAAAATTTGCTTTACCTTTGTCGAATGCTGGTTTGTGTTGTGTATCATGCCGAGAAGAAGCCGTTGTTTGAAGGGATGTCGACGAATGTTTTGGAATTCGAGCAGTTGACAGTAATGGATCAGAACTTTGATTAGTAGTTTGTTCGAACATATTATGCAGGTAAACATTTGTTGGATTTGCATTAGGTGGTTCCTGGATAGCTTGTAGATATCCTTCTAAGTGAAAACAAAATAGAAAATATTGTTAAGTCTTTCGTTTTATAGTTGGAGAAATAGTATCAAAATATGAAATCTATGCATGATGACTATTCTCTTGAATAGTATTAAAAAAAAACATTAATATAATTACCATTAGAAATCATAACTCTTGCTTTTTCTGTTGATGAATATGGATTAGTTATAGATATTGATCGAATTTCATCAATATATTCAGTTGAAATAGATGAATCTATATTAAAATGATGCAATCTATTTATATTGTTTCTAGTGTCTTACGAATGATATCCGCAGTTATCGTAGGTTGAAGACTATTGACGAAATGATTATCAACAGTTTCGAAATTTTCGTTGGACTCTACGAACAAAAACAAAAATATTCTACGTTTCATAGATCTCTTCATACTTAGTAAATGAGATCGTTCCGTCAATAGTGATGAAGACGTGTCATCATCCTGTTGATCTAAAATGTTATTATAGAAATGATTATTTTTAATAGAATTCTCTTAGAAATTTTCTAATAATTAATCTTCTTTCAAAAAAAAACCTCGACAAAAGAAAATTCTTAGCATTGTCGAAAAACAACTCAGCGTAGTCCTGAAAATAACTAACAATCTATTCAAGGTTAAGAAACATTATATGAGTATTTCGATAAATAAAAAATGTGAATGTCAAAATTCAGTTACCATTTACCAACGAGATCACCTATGAATCCATTCTATGAGATTAATCTTTAGTGTTCATATGTCAGCTAATTCTCGCAGGTATGCTGTCCCTGATTGAGCTTTGTGGAAAATGAAACAGAAAACACACTTCTATCAAACATGTCACTAATATCGCTATGTCGATGAAATCATTATAACAAAAATTTAAGTGATTTCCACTGAAATCCCTGACTAGCAAGGAAATTCATTGTAGCAGATGAGAATAAAATAATTATATTGGCAGAAACTTTTTTTCATTAGTCTAAATTGATCTTCACAATAATAGATGTAAAGAAAAGAAAAGCCATCAAGTTTATCAAATACCTTTACTTTCGGATATCAATCGATGATGGATCTGATCCGATAATAAAATAATCTTATTTGATTTCGAGTTAAGAATAGATTCTTGTTTGCCTATTCCATCAATAGTTGACGCAAATGTAAAGGATGGATCAACTGGTAGATTGGATAGAAGTATACTTCGTAAATTCAAATCATAATTGCTTTCTTCATTACCTATCAGATTCTCGTTGTTGATTTTCTGATCATAATCAACAATAAACTTCCCGTTTTGTTCTTCTTCGCAATTTGCAATGTTTGCTTGTGAAGAAAAAAGTTCATCGAAATTTAACAATAGTTCACTATCGTTGCGTGTATCATTCGAGATTATACTTCCATCATCTATTAAAATAAAGAGATTATTTATAAATAATCTTATTAATGGGACTACTTAATTACCATTAGTATTTGATATGAACATTTTCTCTAGAGAAAACACGTTTGTTTTTCAAAATAATGACACATGTTAGACTTTCAAACCTTCAAGTATTGGTTGATTAGTTGATGATAAAGTCTCAAATGCTTGGTTAGTCAATGAATCAGCTTTTTCATATATATGTATACTGTCAGAATTTTCATTTCGCTCTTTCATATTATCACGTTCTTGTCTTGAGACAATATGATGTACGTTATCTTTACTTGAGTACTTCTTATTTAAAAAATTAGTAAAATCATCTGAAATTCTTGATTGATCATGATTAATAAAAGCTTCTAAATCATATTAGAAGTAACTCTACAAAATTAATAGATACAAATTTCAAACTTTGTTGATCTTTAACATTATCAATAAGTATTATATTCAATGATGATTTATATCTCTTGAGATTTGAATTATCTGATTCTAGAATTATTAATGGTAGACTTGGTATTTGTATTAACGACATTCTTATCATATGGTTAATTAATACTAAAATATACGCTGGTATTATATTGAATCTTATGATCGCTTCTAATGGACTTTGATGCATTATACAAGTTGTAAGTTCATTTAAGAACGAAATTTTCAGCTTAATGTTAGTAGTATAATCGTTTTCTTGTTTTAATATATGAATAGGTGTTAAAAATGTATTTGAAGATTGTCTGAAATTATTATCAACACTTGATTTATTATCATTTTCATTTGATATAAAAAAATTCGTAACTGGTTTCTGTTCATTTCGAATATCTAATTTATCATTTGAGATACGTCGATATAAACAAATTTGCGAACCTTCTTCTTTTAAATTTAGTATAGATTTATTTGATTCATTAATTTTATGAACTTTGTTACTTGAGTGAATATTTTTGTTAGATATTTTTTGAATAGTAATAGACATATTTGTTTCATTATCTTTTCGAGATTTAAATTGAAGAGTAGATTGTTGATTGATTGAACTTATATGATTTCGTTGTTGAATATTGTTAGAGTTATGTAGAGCATTGAATGAAAAAGGAAAATGACGATAACAAATAGGTTGTTTTGTTTTTCGATGTCGATGTATTTTTATTTGATGATGAGAGCGAATTCGATCATCTCTATTGAATAGTTTGTTGAATATCTGTAATAGTATAGAATTTTAACTAACCGACGTGCAGTTGGACAATCTATTAATTTAATAAAAATATTCGACGAATTAGAAGAATTTTTATTTGTGAAATTATATTTATATTTTGACAGTTTATTAACATAATCGTTTTGATATTTGAATATATGTGATGTTAATGAACAATCTCGATTGTTTATCGGTTTAGTGTCACTTTGATCGAATTTTTCCATTACATGAGATAAAATATTCGTCGGTGTGGATTGATCTTTGTCATCTTTTATTCTAATATATGATGGATAACGTCAATGAGATCTCTTGTTAGAAGAATATGCTGATGTTGATCGATCATAAGTTTGTCCAGAAAATGTATGAATGTGAATCGAAGATGAAATAGACCTAATGTAAGATGGATTTTAATTTAAGATGCTGGGAATTTAAAATTTCAACAAATGTTTGTTTGCTTTTTATTTAGTGTTGTTGGATAGCGCACATCGAGTTATCTAAAGAAAACTACGTCTCCAATTTTTGAAAACAATTTTTTCTTAGAAATCTTGGAAAATAGAATAAATTCTAAATATTATAGATATGTGATTTTCGCTTTATAGAATATTATAAGAGTTATTTCTTGATTCTTTAAATGAGATTCAGCAAAATATCTTATATTGATGCTGTTTCATTATGGCGTCATAATAAACCATGTTGAACTATAATGACCATTGCGGGTGAAAAGAATCAACTATTTTTTGTTTAAAGAATAAATCACTTTTTCTGTGCCATTAGAAGCGGCTTACCACTCTGAAATAAGTTACGCGTGGGTTTGCAAAATTCTCTCTTTGTAGTCAAGAAAATCTAATTTTTCGATATGAATGCAAAAAAAAGCAATTTTTCTTTGCGAACTTTCAGAATGGACAATTGAATTCGACAACATGCATTTCATTGAATAACATTTTCCATCGCAACTTTCTCTGACAAGAATCACAGAGCAGATGGATCTGGAGGGGAATACGGGTAAAACTTTGATAGATAACGGTTTTTTTTCAATGAAATACATGTTGTTGAACTCAGTTTTTAGTTCTTAAAGTTGCCAAAGAAGACTCGATTTTTGTCCTTATGTTGAGAAAAAAAAAAGATTTTCCCGGCTACAAAAACACTTTTACAAACCCATACGTAACTTGTTTTTTGGTGATGAGACACTTCGAATGGCACAGATAATGTGGCATAGTCTTTAAATAGAAAAGAGTTGATTCTTTTGACATGCAAAGATCATTAGATTTTAGCATATTTTACAATAAGATCATAGTTGAACAGTGTTAAAATAATTTGTTTTTTTGTTCAATATTGTCTTCAGATTCAAGAAATAACCCTTATAATATTCTACAGAGTGAAAACTGCATATTTATAACAATAATGAGCGATCTAAGCATGATACTTAAAATTTCGTGGTTTTTTAAACCTTCAGGAAAAATTGGTTTTCAAAAATTGGACAAGTAGTCGGTCATATGATTATAGTTAATGAAATATTAACTACTGAGTTTTCTTGCTATATACATATGAAGAACTGTTACTACTTGTAAATAGGTGAATTTCATTGAAAATATTTTTGTCTACAAACTAAGGTCTAATGAACTTTAATATATCTTAATTTTTACTTGTAAAAAATATTCGTTGTACATATGACTTTCTGACATGTCGTAATGTAGAAGATAAAGTATATCTTAATTGTTGTTTATATTTATTAATATGATATTGTAAATGTTGAATAATATTTATAGGTTCGAATAATTCGTTTTTCTGTTTTAAATAAATATAAGTAAAAAAAATTTTATGACATCTTTTGATTTTTATTAATTACAAATATGATTGATTATTGTTGTTACTTGATTCATATTTGATGTAAAATCATAGTTTTTGGAGCGAAATCTTACTATTATGTTCGGTTTTGTTCTTAATAGTAATTTGTGAAAATGCTTTTAAACGCTCTAATCACGGTTCTTGCTCGACTGTTTTTATTTCCATTTAGAAAATGCTAAAATCAGCTATTTTGCATCATACAAACTACACGAAGACGCTTAAAATAGTAACTTCTTCTATCTGGAAAAAATGCAAAAATTATGAGAAAAATTTTCGGATGTTTTCCAGATGGAAAAGTTGCCTTTTCAAGCGGCTTCATACACTTTTTATGATGGAAAGCAGCTGGTTTTGGTATTTTAGAAATGCACGGGAAAATACTCAAACGGAAATTACATTAGATAGTTTACAGAAATTCTTGTCTGCTTGTGTAGACACTCATAAACCCATGATATTATTTGTTTTGAAATTATGAATTATGAAGTTCAGTAAAATTGGGATATTTTGAAAGTAGTAATTTATCTAGATCAATCTATTTTATGTATATACTGATTCACAAAAATATTTGGGTCAACATTTCAATAATAATTTGTGTGACTGACAAATGATGAGTTTCACGTTATTTATCTTTTATTTAGCTTAGTTCGCCATTTATCTTTTTTAGTCGATTAATAACAATATTAACTGAATTTGATTTTTATTTGCATAGTTGTGAGTAGTCATCCTTATCGAATAGTATACTATTGGTAGTATATGCATGGTTTGACAGTGAATAATCGTTAAAACAAAGCAAAATATGCGTTGGAGTAAATATCTTTTCATAAACATAAAAAATATCATAATTATTGGGTTTATGACGACCAAGATTATATTAAATAGATTTTATTATTATTATTATTAACTGTCGTTTCGAAATGATTTACTAGTCAGGATAAGTTGAAGTTTTTGATCATTCATTTATTTATTTTTCTTTCTATTTCGTTGTAATAAATCATAATTTTTTCCTAGTTAATATATACTATGAGTCTCTATGAATCATTTTATTAAGTGCGTATTTAATTAGTTTTGTTTTTAATGGATAAGACATTTAATTTTCTATACGTTCAAAATTTGATTTTATATTTTTGTATATGAAGATTTTCATTATAAATATACAGTATGTTAGATTCATCATAACGAATTATTGATTTTTTAAATCAACAATGAATAGAATCTTATAGTTAGCTTAGCCCTTTACCCCCTCCTCCACAATGGTTTCAGAAGAACCATTAAGAAAATAACTTTATCAATAGAGTATTAGCCTGTCTAATATGTTAATGATATGGTCTGGTTCAGCAAGTGTTCATATCTTTATTGGAGGTTGTTTGATTCGTCCAATGATTGCATAGTAGAAGAAAAAGTGAATTTAAGCATATATTAAACCTTGTTTTTTTTTTCTTTGCTCGCACTATTGAATGGGCAAAGGTAATATCAATCCCACGTTATTGTCGTAATAGAAAAAAAAGGAAAGAGTAAATCGATAAAAATTAACGTCACAAGAATATAGGTTTTTTTTACGTATCTTGTTAAATGACCAGCTTATTTGCTCTGATTCATTGTGTAACCTCTGAAAATATTTAATTGGTTATAAATACTATTTTAACTTCTCATCAGTTGAAGTTTATAATACATGTATTAACTTTGCTCTTGATTGTACAATGATGACTTTAGGGCTAATCTGATATGCCCGAAAATGTTTAGTTTGTTGAGTTATTATAAAGCTTTCGAAAAATGTCTAACTTACTAGTTGGCTTCTTCATCAATTCATATTATAGAAAAATTCCCAAAGATCTCGATTGACTGTAGACATAAAATATTTCATATAGAAAAATTCGATTCTTTTTTAAATTGTTGATTTTATACGCTCGGATAGTTCAAAGGCCATGCGATGAAGAAAATGTCCTTATTATTTTCAAATCTTATAGCTCTTTTATTTTCTGCAACTTTTCTACAAATGGTCACTTCAGTGGCAAACGAGCGAATGAAGAGTTAGAGAAATTCTTTTATTAGATAATTCGAATCGAGATCAAGACATACTTCTATCTTATGCGACATAATCTAAGAGAAGTTTTGATAATCATCCCTGTACAGACTGTGACCAACATGTCATCATAGACATTTAAAAGCAACACCTTTCTTTCGTCACAGGCGATGACGTGTACGTTAATATTTCTGTTTTTTTCTTACGGATCATGACACACTAATTTACGACGGAATTAGTATCAAATATGATTAAGTTTAAGATAATTGTCGTTTGACCCTTGTTTTTTTTCCAGTTTTACTGTACCATTTTATAATTAACACCTTTCATAATCAATGTGGATGAATAGTAGATGATAATGCATAAGCCAAAACCTTTCTTAAGCAATTCACCAATTAAGGACGTAAGCAGCTTCATAATGTTTCACTTTTTTATATTATAGGAATTACGTTAGAAAATTTTTTTTTAAACATGTAACTTTTACATTGAAAGTAATAATAAGTAAATTTTAGTTAAATATTTTCAGACGAAAATCAAACAACAAACTTCTGGAATGTTCAGTGAAATAAGCAGATTTCATCGTCCTTCATGATCAAATTATTGTTTAAAAAAAAGTTGTTAATGACTCTTTTTCGGAAGTTAACATGCATACAACATGGAATTGAGTCATAGACACGTATATTTCTTTTCTACTGTAAAATATAGATGAGACAAAAAATTAAAAAAAACAACGAGGTAAGTATCTATTGATCGATTGAAAGAGAAAAAAAACAGGACGAAAAAAATACACGAATGTTAGAAAAATTTTATTTCACATTAATTGAAAATAAAAAAAGATGATAGTTGAAATGAAATAAAATCAATTTGGTTTTCATATGAATCACACTTATAAAATTCAATAGTTTTTTTTCTCGCGGTTTGTACCTGATTAAATAAAACTCGAATGTAAATTAGAGAATAGAGCATTGATTAATATAGCTTAGAAACCATGGAAATTTGTCTTTATTTTTTTTTTGTTTGGAAGTTTTAATGAATAATGAATTTTGTTTTCTAAAATAATTTCAATAATCTATTTAAGATTATTAGTTAATCGACATATGAAATTATTTTTCAGTTTTTAATATTTATTCTGTTAAGACATTCTCTTGTAAATTTTTACGAATAACTCTCGTGTTTTTATTGTTATTTTTTAACGTTGTAAAGAATATGAGTTTTTAAACATGAGATTATGGACTGAGAAAAAAAACGTAACATGCACTGATGTTGAAAAAAAAAGAACGAATTCACAACGTTGCGTGCAATTATTCGTACCAATTGTCCTTGAAAAAAGCATATTATCCGAACATCGCAATAATATATATAATGAGCTTTGATGTATGCATACAATAAAAGGCACAGGGTCTATAACTCTTCCGATGATGAAAATAAAGCTAACTGATCATCACAATGATGAGAAATTAATCGATTTAATTACAGTAACAAGAAAAGAATGTCAGATGTTTCGTTATGATTAATGTGTCATTTCCTTTCTTTTTTTTGTGAGATGGTATCAGCATGCTTTTGTTTAGAGTTTACTTAGAAAACATGCAAATATTTTAATGTTTCTCGACCTAATTTATGTTATCACGTTTACACTATCATCTAACTAACGTATGCTTTTCTTTGCCCTTTGAAATTGTTATTTTATCGATTCGACTATCAAATAGAAGAAAGACAAAGAAGAGTGAGGACATATGAATTTTTGTAATTTTCTTCACCCATTTATATGAGTGTATAATAGTTTGAAAAAAAAGTTTTGAATGTAAGACATTTTCCTCTTCAATTAATAGTTCAACCATTGAATTCTCTTAATAGAGGCATGTCATCAGAATATGACATCAGATCGTATAAACCACCCCCATTCTAATACGCAGTTTTTTTTTGTGGTTGCCGTCGTTGTCGTTCTTTTTTTTCTCGTTCTTCTCTTCTCCACTGTCATTTGTACCGGTAAACAGCTGAGAAATAAGTAAAGATTCGGAGTAGTGTTTGTGCTTATTTTTCTCTCGCTTGACGCACGCATTTTCTCCGCACATACACACATACAGCAAAAAGAAGAAGTATAGAAGAAAAAACAACATATTTACAGAGTAAGCAAAGAAAAACCAATGAGAAAGGGTCGATTTTTTTTATCGTACTAGAAAAAAAAGAACGAAGTGAAAAAATTTATGTCTTTTATTTTATTAATTCTATCTTTAGATTTGATACACAAATGTGTACCGATATTGATTTTCTTCCGCATATTATGGTTATAACAGAGAAAGAATTTATATTATCCAATGAATATGATCGTAGGAATAGTTCAACTCCATCCATGACATCATCGTCTTCTTCAACCACAACCACAACAACAATAACAACAACAACAACAGCAACAACAAATTCTACGTCATGGATTGAACGAAAATTATTTAGTCATTTTAAACGTTTATTTCGACGAAATTCATTTTCTTCGAAAACAAATTCTTCTCAATCCAGTCGTCGACCATCTTGTACTATTGAGCAAGGTATTGAATCATCGTTCGATGAACATTCTAAACAAACAAACGAACATGAACAAGAAGAAAATAAAGAGCATGGCAATCTCCCTTCTTCCTCCTCTTCGTCGTCGTCGCCGTCTTCATCTCCAACTCCTTCTCTTTCTACAATTTCAAATCCAATCAGTGAACAGGCACAATCAATAACAAATAATTCTAACTCTATTGATTTACTATATGACTATGATCGTCTTCTTGCTCGTTGTCTCGAACGACAAAAACGTGATCTAAGTGAAATGATATCACGTTGTCAAACACCTATTACAATTCCACGTGCTGATTTAATTGTTGGTCATTCACGTTCAATACTTGTTAATTGGAAATCTTATACACGTTTATTTCGTGCATTAAATCGTGATCCACAATTATTTCAACAATATATTAATCAGTATTATGCTTGTCAATCATCAACAAATCAACGTGAACAATTAATATTTAATGCTCGAACAACAAGAACAACATTTGATAACGTATTAAAAGTATTTCTTAATGAATATGTTACTTGTTTGGCATGTCAAAAAGCAGAAACTCATTTAATTAAATCAACTGGTTTATGGCGAATAGAATGTCAATTATGTGGCAGTCAACGTTCAGTTAAACGTCTTAAATGGAAACTGTAAACAAAGTATCAATTAAAATGAAGAACAACAAAAAAATAAGAAAAGTGATATCCATAACCTTGATTAGTGTTACTTTCTTTTTCTTTTTCTTTTTTTTTTAAATCTAGTCTTTTATGTCTCATTATATTCTTATTTCTGTTATTGATAAGTTAACATTATTCACTCTTCTTTGATTTATTACCAATATTTGTACTGGATGCCACAATATTTATTAGCACAACAGAAAAAAAGAGCACTACACGGACATTTTTTTTCACGATATTATTGTTCGTATATGCAATTATACCGTTTTACATTTGACTATGTATGCTCTAAATCGCTTGAATACTTTAATAAAACTATGAAAATTATGCGATACCTTTTTTAATGTATTATATAATGGAAATTGTTTTATAGATTGAGGATAATATGGCTAACTATTGTAATAATTTTATTCTTTATTGTTATTGTCAAAAGAAAGAATGAATAGAAGAAGGCAAGGTCGAAACATAATGCGCAAAAGATAATACAATTATCATGATGGACTTGTACGTCAATTTGGCTTTTTCATGAGCTATTTTTAGATTTTCTTTTGTGAAAAAATATCTTTTTTTCTTCATCAAAATATGACAATAGATTATATTTTATTGTTAATTAGACTGTTCTTCCGATAAATAGGACATATAATGAAACGGCAGCAAAAACACATATAATAATTCCACATGTAAGTGCTACTATTATTGAACCAAATCTAGCTAATATTGAATAAATTTTTGCTGAATCTGAATTGATATTTTTTAAATTAGTTTCATATATTTGTGAGGTAACAATAAATACTCGAATAGATGCAAATGCAGCAACAAGAGCAATTCCAATACAAAGAATAGTTACGAATTTTAAAAAAGCATGTACAATCATTGAATTACCAGAAAAAACAACATCATCAATTAACTAGATTATATTCAAAGGACACAATCATTTTTCTTTTTCATTAAAGTTACCTCTGTATAAGCTAATGTGAAAAAAGCAAGACACATTGATTGCATTGTCGATCCGAAATAATTTGGAATTTCATCGTGAACTACTGCCATAGGTACAACTGTTGTTCGATCATTTCGATTCGATGTTGAACGACGTAACCAACCGTAAGAAGATTTAGGTGCGAAATTTGTTTCATTAGTGGAAGGCAATGATACTTTTTTATTTTGTTGTGACAATGATGAATAACTATTATTATTAAATTCAAGTGATTGAACTCGTCTCATTATGGATAAATCAAAAAAAAAATATTAATAAATCAAAAAAAAAAAAACTAGAAATGTATGAATTATTACATTGCGCGTATTGTTTTATGCAGAGAAAATGTTACAAGCAAAAAGACATACTTCATCAAGTCAAAAAAACATTTACTTTTTGAACTTGTCGAGTAAAAGCTGCTTGCAATAATGTCTACTATATGAGAATAGTTTTCATTGTTTAATAATGGTTGTGTCTATGTAAACTATTGACACTACTTTTTAATAATCATCAATGACCTTTGAAAGTAAGAATGCACTTATGTATTCTTCTCCAGCGATAAAATATAAGTCGATAGGCTTTATTTTCGATATAAATATATTTATATTAACTCTTGCTGATACTTCCAAAAAATGAAATTTAATAAAATATTATGAAATTTTACGATTATCATTGTAGTTCTTTAGTTTCAAATTCAGCTTGAAATTTTAGTTGTTTTTTCCAGTGTTGGGTTTTTTTTTGTTCCTTTCTATTTGTTCTAGGCAATAAAAAATATTTATATATATTAGGGCAATAGTCGTATCGAGACCATAACCCATTACAATGCACCCCATTTTAAATGGCAATAGCTAGCAACATATAGAAATGATGAGCCATTGTATGCACCTGTGACATTCGTCTTATCTTGAATTTTTTTAATATCATCGTTACGTGTTTCTTTTTTTTTGTTTGAATATTTACTTATACTTAGTAGCTATTGTTTGTCAACGGCGATTTAAATAATTGCCCTTATTTTAGTACTTATCTAAAAAAATGCAGCTCTATTTACAAGCTGAATTTTCACTAGCGATGACGTTGAGCATGACGAAAATCAGGTGAAATGGTCAGAAAAAGCAGTATACTTATTCATAGATGTTGGGACACTTTATTAACGATGATCGTTGTTAAAGAAACTTATACATCATATGAAAAAATGCAAAAAATTAGGAAAAAATCGACAAAAAAAGAACTGATAAAGGTGTTGATAAGAGTATAGAAACGACGATAACATTGAATAACTTTCATTAAACATTAAGATCGAGAACAAAACTTGTAGACTTGGTGATAAGAGTGCTTGATGGACGTTAGAAATTATTGTCATCCTTTTTTTGCACATATATTTTATTCTAACCTTTGTATAAATACAATTTCATTATTTGTTTGTAATATTATATCATTATATCGTCTATAGTGACCTCCAGCTAACACCTAAGTATGGTGGTACAATAATAAAAATTCGTTTCAGAAGAAAGCGTTCTTCAACCTGAATTTGAGACCAAAAGACTTTAGTTATCGTTGCCGAAAAACAAAAACAGTAAAGTTTGAAATTCATCTCTTCAGAATCTTATGAAAATCTATCGTAGTAAAATGATTATTCTGTTTAAGATTGAGAATCTTTTACTGTTTTTACGAAATTGATTCCTATCCAATGCATACTAGATTGAAACATTGAGATATTTAATTTCAATTTGTTTTTAATGACCGAATGAGGCGAATCTCTGTTACTAAAGCAAGTCGAAATGAATCACACATATTTGATTAGAATAAATTATTATTATTTACAAAGCTTTAGATAATTTGTTTTATTGAATAAAAAATACATTTATGATCATCTTATTAATAGTACCTAAAGAAATAAAAGCATTCGAACCAGTGGATTTACCAAGAGCTAATTTAAAGATTTCTGATAACATTAGAAATAAAGAAATATGTCTATTTTAATTTTATTAAATGTTCAAGGTAGTTGCTATCATGCTATATGAATTTTGTTAGGCCGAATGGGTTTTAAATATAGTTGTACTTGGCGACTGGATATATTGTGCCCTAATTCGATGACTCATATTGTTTTCCTATGATGCCCGCTTATCGGATATACATTGTCAGAAACGATGAGATTCTACTGATAGAATCTGTCGTAACCAGTATAAAAGTGTGGGCTTGACGAGCATGTGACTATTGTGAACACCCACATGTACACCCTTCATCACTGGAACTCATCTTTCTATCTTACTTCCATCCATCTTCAGCATTCTCATCAAAATTATTCGCAAAGCTTTCGATCGTTTACGATCAACTTAACATTGAGTCTAGGATGATGTTTGAGGTCGTATTCAGTTGTTGAAATGTTCATCTATGCTGTATTCAGTGTATAATTCAGTTGTGACAAAACTGATGTATCTTGTAATGTGAATAGTGAAAAACTGTTAATTTGTTTGTATTAAACAAAATGAAATTAACTTAGGGAGAAAAAATAGATTTTTCAATATTTTTACATTTCCTACTCCAGTTTTTTTTCTCGCAAATGTCTCTCTCAAATTTTTTAATATGCGTCAGAGAAGTGAAATTTCATGGAAAATATTGTGTAGTAAAAAACTCAATGAGATCTATGCAAAATTGTCGACAAATTTTTCATTTTTAAGTCATACTTAAGTGATTGAATACTTGTTAAATTTTGAAAATCCAATGAATTTATAACTAACCTTTAAATCTACTGTTAAATGCCATAAAAGGAAAAAATAAGAATAATCCTAGTAATCCGGCTCACTCATTATATGTGATTTACGACTAGAAAAAATATCAATGAAAAATAAAGAAAGATTTGAATATGATTATTGACTAATAATGGCTCATAAATCTAATCATGGAGATTTCGTTCAGACATTGATGAGGACGACTAAAATTATTTATCTTGGAGAAGCTCAACTCACACATGTTGTACAGAGTTGAAAAGTTTTGTTACTAAATAGATGAAGTCTCTTCAATAAAGCGACTTTTGTCAGTGTTCTTTCGTCAGTATTTTGTTCAGGTATTTTTTTCTGGGTAGGCAAAGAGTTGTTTTCGAAATAAGCAAAGGTATAGTATGAGGTGTCATCACTACGAATTTCGAAACAGTAAAATCAATCTGTTGGAGGATGTAGCTTCCGTGTTGGATAAATCATTGTCTTTTGTACTAAAAATAATATTGTGTGTTTTACTCAAGTTGAATTCAGGTGTCAATCGTTTTAAAGTCGACTTTGTCATGCATGATACAATCGAAATAGTATCCGATCGACTATGTAAGCACTTCTGAGCCTAACACGAAATAGCAAAATTCAGAAAAATATCCAATTGAAATACAATGTTTCTTCACTAAGCTGAACAGCTAATTAAAGTAATACAACCATGTAAGTGTTGAAGTAAATAGTATCCTGTTCGACCTTCGAATACAGCACAAATAAATATATGGATGATCGAATGATGAGGACAATAACGAGTAAAATATCTACACAATTGCGCACATTATTATCGTGTTCATTTTGTCACGCCCATTGGAAGACAGTATAAGAAGAAAGGGCAGTTAATCGTGCCTCTAAGTCAGATTTCAGCACAGCATGACCTACTTCAAGATTATTGCTGATGATTGTAATATATTTTGATTAAACCTTCTGTGACAATAAAAGTTGAATAGCACGTGGATGTAACATGTCTTCAACAGAAATTTCTATTGCACGTAAACAAATATTTTCAATAAGAGTTTTGTCAAATTACATCAATTTATTTATCCCATTGTTATGTATCGTCGATTAATAAAACATCTGAGTCACTATCAATTCAGATAAGTTCATCAACAGTATGCCCTTACATTAAACATTTATAGGCTTCGACGATTGATTCAATAGATATTTCATCATAAATACATAAGATCGTATAAATAGGCACTTGAAGTTCATTAGAAAGACTGTTCAGGAAAAAATATATCGTCTGTCAACAATATTACATTCGTTCGTGGATCAATACGAAACAGTCCTGTTGTTACTAGTTGTTAACTGTGCCTAAGCAAAAGAGCACATTTAGTAAAAGCATAATTAATGAGTGTTACATCATAATTTTCATAAAATGATATTTTAGAATAATGTGGTAGACTACCAGATATGTAATAACTGCTTCTATAACTAGGAAGAAACGCCGTTCTTTTATGTTTCACTCGTCATATTTGTAGTATTTTATGTCACAATGACAAATCTATCTCAAAGCAGTAAATTGTATATTTCTCATCACTAAGTCAAATAGAAAACGGAAAAAAGAATGAAATAACAAACATGATAATATTTTTTCTTCTTGTTAATGGTGACTTTTTGTTGCTATAACCCATAACATTAAGGAAAGAGTGTAGAAAAATAAGGCTGCTGCCAAAAATGTTTTTTTTTTCTTTCTTTTTATGTTCACACTAAGTTGGGCAACATAGTTTGTTATCTTATGGATACAATTTAATTTATTTTTCCGATTAAATAACCATCAATCACCAACAAAAGAAATATTGAACACAAGATAATTTGAAACAAAAATGTTTATTCTTCATTTGCATTGATCAATATTCTAATTTCTGATTGGACTGCTTTTCATAGCCATTACTACTGGTGACTACACTGTCCTGGATAATGCCTAGCAACTGACGTGTAACACGATCATCCCCTCGATCAACCAGATAGACCATGTCTATCTTGTCGACGATCACTTGTTTTTTATAGGACAACTGTCTCACATTACTCTCATTCCTTTGACTATCAGCTACCATCAGACCTTCATGGGCACTTTTCGTCTATTTCATTACACGATGATTAAAACAATGTGATGCATATACTGAGTGATATTGATCGACGAACACGTACGGTAGGTGATTGATCTGATTGACACGATCAACTTTGTCATTCGCACTGACCACCACTATTTCTTGTGTGCCATCTACCACTCATCGTCGAACCTCATGCTTTTTTAAAAGTCACGCAGGTAGAGAAATCCATGAATGATTCATCGTTGAAATCCAACACTGGTGGTATGAATGAAGATGTAGCTCTTGTCTTCATTCACAGCCTGATTTTCACCCTACTCACACCCACATCCTTTTGAAACGAGTAGTAAGAGAATTTGGCTACATATTCAAGATGACATTTTTCTATCAGATATGCGAATGCAAATATAAATTTTATGATGGAGATATTGAAATGCAGAATTGTGTTTTTGTGAGTGATTTTTGTCCGATCTCAGTTGAGTGTTTTTGAAGGTGTCATGAATCATCATCGCATTAGAATAATTGAGTATATCGAGGGTCTAGTTCTGAATAATTGTGTAATTGCCACAGCAACATTCTCAAAATACATTTTAGATTCGTAAAAATTTATTTTTATGAAGGTATAAGTATGAGTGTTATGGAGTAGGTGAAAAGAAGGCACTCACCCATGCACACCTACACTCATAACAATGTCCACTCCCACAACCAAGACCCACACTAGCATCCTATAAAATACATTGACGAGCTAAAGGGAAAATTGTGTGAACCAATATCAGATAACAATACAAAAAATTGCTTAAAAACATAAAAGCAATGTTTATTTCAGTTTTTGTTTGTTGCATTTGACAGTGAATATTTTCTTGTTTTAAGATCAGTCTACGACTAGTTCGATTCTCTGCAACACACAACTCATTTGGCGACTATAGTTGAATCTTTTGCAGACTTTCTTAACGCATAGCGGCTCCAGAACATTATACCCTGGACAAACATGAGTCTGAAATTGTCGCCAAATGAAATATTACTTGATCTATTCAAGTTTCTAACTAGCACTCAAGTACTTTTCAGTTTTCGCAAACTTAACTCTCGCTTCGACACTCTTCTATTCACACATATACAACGTTCTCATGTCGGTTTTTGTTCTATATAGAAAGATGATTTTGACATTATCTGTCGCAAACACCTATCATCTGTTGTTGATGGCATTACGAACATTTGACTTTCCGACTATGATGAAACTCACAAACAAACGAATCGTTTTCATTTTCATGGATTTAGTCTTTGTCGATTTCCTAGTTTATATTCACTTCCATTATCTTATATTCAGTCTGAATAGACTATGAATCAAATGATACACGAATGTAAACAACTTTCTAATCTCACTCAACTTATCATTGCAACTTGCTATTATTCGATGCCTATCTTAAAGACGATTTGAAGTCTGCCTACGCTTATATCTTTTCATCAAGAAAGTAGTGACGAAGGTATCTATTATATTCCGGAGCAAACAGAGATCTCAGTGTCTTCCAAACGTTTGTCCATTGAAAGCCGTTGTGGTGCATTAGCACCATTGATTCGTCTATTTCGAAGTATGCCTAACCTTCAAAATATTCGGATGTATGTCGAATCCGTTTCCAGATGTTCAGAAACACCTGTGTTTGCCATTCCATTTCTAACTTCGTTGACGCTCGTTTACGTTGGATACGATGCATATAAAATATTGAAGAATTTATTTCGAACAACCATTAACTTGCTTCATCTAACAACAAAAAAGTTGAAATCAACTTGATCAATGGACATGAATGGAAACAACTAATTGTCGAACGCTTGCCAAAATTGAAAGTGCTTGAACTAACAATGGCTAATCAAAATTACTCGTCTAACGGTTGGGAACTGGCCCGTTTGTTTCGAACCCCATTCTGGCTTGAAGATCATCATTGGTTTGTTCGATGCGATTGATATTCTAATAAAAAATTATTGATTCTAAACACAATACCTTATCCATTTGATCATTTTTCTCTTTATGATAACAAAGTTGATATCAGATCAACATGTGATCGCGACGATAATCGTCGACTTTATATTTGCGTGAAGAATCTAAACTGTCATTGTCCTTCATTGAAAACATGGGCTCTATCTCGTATTAATTTTTTCAATGTTCGACACAGAATTAACACTTCCATTGAACGATCATGTTTGACGCCTACTGAAAACATTTGAGCAATTGACTTCACTTCGTGTGGTACTATTGAATCGTACTAAAGTTCAATTTGAACTATAACAATTACTCGATCGAGCACTTTGTCTCTATTCTTTAATATTCGATTCATGGTGAAATTTGAGTACGCCTATGTTTGAATCCACAAGTGCATCAATTCACCGACTTGATTATTCAACAATTTCAGCTCTTTAACACTCAGTATTGGTTCAATAAAGAACAATGTTTGATGTTGAGTTCATCACTGTTGCACTTTCAGTGTGAAGTTCTTTTTGTTAATTAACGTCGAAGATTCAACCAGTATACTTGATTTTGTCTATCGAATGAAAAACCTACGAGCATTGACTGCTAACTGTTGATATAGAATGCTAGATAATCAAGTTATCGCCTAGTTATAAAGCTTGTTTTCATCTACATACAGAATCATACAAAATGAACATTACCAAGATAACTAACGTAAAGTATGGATTCGTTAAAAAAAGATTTAGAAATTAAACATTCTTCTCTCGGTGGAGCATTTTATTTTTACTGCGCATCTGATAACTGAAATCAATACTTTAAAAGGAATCAAGTAAAACCATTTTCAACAATCCTCATTCAAGCAGTTTTATTGAAGACTTTAGGTACATCAATCCTAGTGGAGAATCATTTCAGCTACAGAAATATTTGTCCAGATTCTTTTTAGCTATTATCATCGAGAAGAAAACCCAAAAATACTACTGCCCTAAAACTTATGCTCGCCAGTATACATTATATATTTGCTTTTGCTTTGTCAAAATACCAGAGCAGACATCCTTTGTTTTCTTATTTGATCATATTATGACTTTCAATATAAACTTTAATTTTCGTCAATAGATTGTACAGTTAATTTTGAATAACATGCTGTTTCTATGCAAATCATACTTATTTTAAATGAAACATTATATATTTTTTTATAGTCTACTAAATCCAAGAATAACATTACTTCAATTAAAAGTATTTCATAATGATCGTTTTGATTTATACATCTTAACAGCTTTAGTTTTTCATAATAATTATAGAACATGTCATTATTTTTATATGATAATAATGTTAACACTAACATCATCATGCACCAATGTAACAATTATTTCTCCTTACTTCTTTTATCAAAAGTAACAGTAAAGTATTTGTCTAATAAATATTAAACAAAACATTTCCATATCAACATCGCCTAATTAAATAACAGAATAAATAAATTTTTATTTGTCAAATTTATGAACTAACCAGCATAAGTACTTATTTCAAATAGTTTCCATTCATCGGATTTGGTTTTTGGTAATGTTAGAATAACATTAAAACCTTCAATTTTGAATGACGCTTAAATAATTGAAAAATAAAATAAAATCAGAGATAAAAAATTTTTCAACTAACTTGAAAGATCTTGTTTATTCATAGCGATAAAAATTAGAATAGATAATGATGATCGACTACTTAATTTTTTCGATAAATCAATCAGATCACCAGTAGCAAGTGTTATTCGTTTTCGATCATTACTATCAATCACAAAGAACACACCTTGATAAAACAAAAAACAAAGAATTATTAATTATTAAAAAACTTGAGTAGTTAAACAATATGTTAAACATGGATAATGATACATTTTATTAAGGAAAGACGCATATTACTAAACCACTTATCTACATTAATATGTTGGTAATATTTCACTACTAAGACAATATATTTCAAGTAATAACTATTGAAATTCATAGATCTTTAAGATGTTGACAAATGTCTGTGCGATTTGAAATTCTAAAGCATCATTAAGATTTATTGATGTAATTCAAGAAAACGATAAAATAGTTCTATTTCGATAGATTTTTTTCTCTAAATTAAAAAACAAACAATTAAAGATATTTTCTTCATGTTAATTTATTTTATAATTTCAAAATTAATCTTAACAGATTAATGAAAAACACATGGCAACAAAATATTTGACCACTAAAATCATATTAAATGATCAGTACTTCACGTAGGAGGATGAATGTAAGTAAGGGTCACAGAGTTGATAATTTCTTAAATATTCATTAAATTAATAAAGGACGGGGGCGAATAAGACCACAAATCGGCCCCCGGTCAAAACTTAATTCAATCACCTCAAAACCAATAGAAATTTATAGATCTATTGTTTTTATGATTGTTTTAATGAAATAGGTAGATTTTGATTAGCGTTCTGCACCATTTTAGTTCATGAGAAATGTATATGATTATATGACCTTTTATGAATCTTAGTAGAGATNAGCTCCTTTAAGAGATCCGTATCCACCTCTAGTGGTCTTCCAGTATGAGGTAAATCATCGAGTTCGAAGTTACCGTTCTTGAACTCATTGAACCAACGTTGCGCTGTACGAATGGAGAGCGAATCCTTGCCCATCGTATGGCATATGTTGCTTGTTGCTACTGTTGTTTTGTGATCCAGACGGAATTCATGAAGCAGAAGCAACCGGAGCTCTCTACGAGATATTTTCATTTCTAATTCGAGATCAGTATCTATATTCATAGTTTTATTGTTGTTCGAAAGATATTCACACTCCCTTTATATACCCTTAGTATGGAAACTTCTAGAACTTTCTTGACTGTTCTAGGAAGTTACGAAAAAAAACGACAAAAATTTCTTACCAACCCAATATTATGATTTATGCATCTGATTAGACTACGTTATATTACTGTTAATTCATGACAAGTGACATTTCGAATTTGAAAATTTTTAAGATAATGCGTATTAAATCTTGATAGTGGCGTATAAACAATGTTTTGAATGCAAGATGAAACTTGACTATGGTCGACATTATGAAATCAATAAACCGTTACTGAAGTTATATTTGACTGCTCGATTCGAGATACATATACAGGAAGATGATTGTCTTTGTGTTCGATGTCAATCATCATTTGATAGTTGGAAGAAAACGATTATGTTTTCAGTGATTTCTCAACAATAGTTCATGGTGTAAGTTTTACTATCTTTTTTAAGTATATTTTTTTAAATAGGCATCTCCAGATGGAAGTGGAAAAGTATAATAACAATCAAAAATTGTTGTCTAAGGAGACGTAAACCGACAATTGTCCTTTATCGGTTTCTATTAACGTCCAGCGAGTATCGCATTGACATTAGTACCTGATCTTCTTTGATTTAACTTTTCTCTATTTATGACCTAATTTTAAAATTTCCATTATATGTCCAATCAAGGGCGTTCAGCCCATGAAAGCCTTATATAATGATCGACGAAAAAGTTGTTGGTATAGTCCCTTGAGGGACTACAAATATGAAGCACCATGAAACTGTTGTTTTTAATTTAACAGAAATTGTAGTGTTCCATTTCTTACAATACTTTTGCTGTCAACCGTTTATCTGATGCTCTAGAATAAGTTCCTTTGCCACGGTCTGTGATGGTCTTTAATACGATTCTATTAGTCTGCGATAATCTTTGAAGTTCTTCTGTCACGGTTTGTCATGGCCTTTTCTAAAGTTTGTCAGTCTGTAATGGTATTTTCAGGAGTGTGTCACGGTATGTGATGGCATACATTCTCAGAAGTCCATCACACTCTGTAATGGGATCTTCAGAAGTCTCACAATCTGTGATGGCTATGTGTCGTGTCAATCACGTTCTTTTCGAGAACGGGGGAGGCAAACTTTCTGCACTATGGACTTCAATATTCCTTTCAGATCGTGTTCGACAAATTGCTGTTTCTCAAAGGAGGATTATTTATATAACAGGGCAGCCGTTGTTCTGTTCACCACTTACTCAATGGTTATTTGGACTATGATAGTCTTTATGCTATTGAAGAATTATTTTCCGAATGAAGTGGGAACGAAATGCAAAAGTTATTGATGTTGATATTAGGGCTGATTAAAATAATATGGGCATACCGTGTCGTACGAGATCAATATTTTCATTGATTTTGTGACTCATTCAGGTAGTATAAGCTCATTTGTGACCAAAGTCCTATCGCAAAATCCTTCAAATTGATACTGTTCGATAGAGCTCGAAAAGCTCTACAAAATGATCTATAACTCAAGGTGTTTTAAATTGGAAATAGTAATTCTACAGATAGAAAACAATGAACGGGGTCATCATGGTAAGGGTAGAGTGAACATATAATGATTTAGCGATTTCATCAAAATGAATAAGAAACCCTATGTATAATACGTCATTCGGTACAGTTTTAAAAGCTCTTTCGAATGATATATAATTGAGTTTAAATCATTGAAGAACTAAAAAAGTTATATGATAAATACTATCTCTACTAAGATTCATAAAAGGTCATATAATCATATACATTTCTCATGAACTAAAATGGTGCAGAACGCTAATCAAAATCTACCTATTTCATTAAAACAATCATAAAAACAATAGATCTATAAATTTCTATTGGTTTTGAGGTGATTGAATTAAGTTTTGACCGGGGGCCGATTTGTGGTCTTATTCGCCGCCGTCCTTTAGTAATAACATAACGAGAAAAATCCTTCAAATGATAATCCTCTTTTGAATTGAGATTAGATGCATTATATACACCCACATAAGATATGAATACTCTGACAAGAGTTCGTGTTCTTAGCTTAATCTTGAAGAGTTACTGCACTTTTAAGGTATTTTTTTAAATGAATACTATAATAACAGAAAAACTGATTGTCGAATTTCGACTTGAAACTTTGTATTGAGATATATTTTAATGAAAGTATCATAAGAAATACAGAATTGCAGCCAAAGAATCAAAAGATGAATTTCAACTATAACAACCATATATGATTATGTACTTCCGATCATGTATTACAATGTATTTTAGATGATATATAATATTGATCTATAATGATTGTATAGAGTTACAATATTTTATTAAGTCAAAAAATGAACAATTATGATAAAACCTTTGATGAAAAATAAGATATGTCGAAATACTATGAAATAAAATCCATCTTTTGATTTTTGATTTTTTTAGTTGCTACTATGTATTTATTATGATAGATGCTCATACTAAAGATATTATTCATATTAATGAAAGTAGTTTATTGTGAATGTTTCAGGTCTTTTGATTATGCTTCTAGCCTTAACTAAGAACATCAAATTTGCCGATTTATGTAAGTGATGTAAACGCATGTTATTATCATAGTTGTATCTTAGGATAGAAATAGTGAAACATTTAAAAAAAAAAACATTCTCGTTCAGATCTGTCTCTATGTAATGTTTCAAGCTGAAATTCGAAAATTAGTTTTTCTGTTACCACAGTATTCATATAAAAATACCATAAAATGACAATATCTCTGCATTAATATGCTAAGGGCACGAACTTTTTTCAGGACATTAATAGCTCATTTGGGATTGCATAATGTACATAGTCTCAATTTATCAGTTGAAGGACTTTCCTTGTAAGTTACTGACTATCCAATCTAGTTTACTGATCATTTAAATCACAGCCAAAACAAAAACAAAATTCATCTATCGTTATTATACCTTCAGCATCAGTTTAAAAAACCTCCACAATTGTCTTGTTTTCTTTTGCTCACTTAAATCCCATACATTAAGTGATATTAGAGCAAAACGTGGAAAGATGGTTTCCGCCTGATAAAGAAATGTTGGTTCAGTTACAATATTTTCAACATGAGATGCTTTTATATTTATTTGTAAATCAACTAAATTTTTAACTCATGTAACTAACATTGATTGACCAGCAGAATCTATTCCAATAATCAGTATTCTAACTGATGTTTCTTCATGTGAAAAATAAATACGTCCAACCTTACTTGTAAATATAATACCCATAGTTCAATAACTAGCACAACTCTCACGTTTTTTTCTGTTCTTTTAACATAATAATAATTCATATGATGCAATTGTACACAAAAAAATAATCATCGTATTTCTTTCAACTCAATAGAAAATTATTGTCGCTGTGTACGTGCATGCGTATCATAGTTTTTAATGAAAGAAGAAAAAAAAAGAAAATATTCAGTTCACTGAAAACAGTTTATTAAGTAAAGCTTTTTCGTTTTGATTTACGTTCATTAAGAAAGCGACGCGAGGGAAAAAAATATTGTCCATGATTCATAGGCATTTTTTGATGACTATTATTAGCAACAAATATATATAAATTGTTTCCTTTACGTTTATGTGAAAAATAATTTGTTTGACATGTTAATATAGATAAAAAAGCACGACGAAATCGAACATTAAATGCTGTATAGATAATCTAAATAAAAATATGCGTATTAGAAAAAAATAAACAAAATATTAAAATGTGTTCTTTACTTACTGGATTTAAATTTGATGATATATAACCAAGCCAACTAGTTAAATTTAATAAGGATGCTTTTATCGTATACGATGGACAAACAGCTGAAAGTATGTTTAATATTGAAAATGGAAGCCAAGCAACAAGAAAAACAAAGAAAACAATTCCAAGAACTTTCATAGCACGACGTTCACTTGTAGTTTCTGTTCCACCTTTAAATGCATGAACTGCTTTTTTAACAAGTGTACTATGAAAAAATGAACGTTGATGTGTATTTGATATTACTGTTGGTGTAACTGGTGGAGTACTAAAAGTCAAATAAGCTATATTATCATAATGTTTCATTTTTCCGCTCGTGTAACTTGTCATTAGACTTTTATTCTACAAGAAATTGAATATTAATATATTCTCATGGGATATTTCTTTCTAATGCTGTATTTAATTATCATTTATTCAAAGAAAAAAATCAGAAGTAGCAGATTTTTCTTTTGCTTTAGATAATTCGTATTTTTTTACGATAAACTTCTTTTGTTTTCAATAGGTTTAGTTTATTAACTGCATTCATTTGCTAAAAAAATTATCATCATACGTTCTGATTTGTTATTGAAACTAGATGACATTCAAATTTCCCTCGACTAAGAAATGCAGTGCAAAGTTTCGATTGTCGGAAAAGTTGATATCTCACAAAAGATAAAACGAATGGCCCTGTCTATGATAGATTACGATATTCACGGTTCAATCGATCAGCTGAACGAGGTTAAAACGAAAATCAAAAGTAGCTATTTTAAAATTCATTACGAAGAAAATTTTATTAAAAGATATCAACACGTTTTTAATAAATATTTTCGATAAATTCATGAACTGTATCTACAGTTGTCCGAAATATAAACAAAAAGAGTCACGAGTACTTTCTGTTGCTCTCTTCGTTTTAATTACCTCAAGTCGTCATGCCTGAGTGATCACGTTGCATAACAAGTATTCACAAGGTACTGTGCTCAGATCTTGATAACACCAGTCATGGAATGACTTTGGACGTCTCCAACTATGCGTCCTATAATATGCTGATTACGTTGTGACAGATTCCTGTTCTTGTGATCAGTTAGTGTGTACGAGGAGCTAAAGCAATTGAGCGCAAGAACTCTCGGTCAGGTTGGCCTTCTATCCATAGCAACAGCTAATCATAGTTGTAGAGAAGATATCGAGTGTAGAACACCGTACCTTAAGGCACCTAAAAGACAGGGATACTCTTCTTAGCTATCTCAAAGTTTGAAAAAAAAAACTAAATTCAGAAAAAATAACATTTTGACAGTGGGTCTCCATAAGAACGTGTAATTGAAGATAAAGAACAACGGACGACATTGATTTGATTATGAAATTTCATTCTTACGTTTGAACGAGTATTTTCTGACATTCTCAAGATAATTACGATAGAAACTGTCGAGCTTTCAATGTGTACGTCTAGTAAAGTAGAAATCACGAAAGACTATATATAAATGCTGTACTTCGCACCGCATTAATAATGGTCGACTAATATCATTTTATGAATTATTTTTCCATATTGTTTATCAGGAAATTCAAAAGAATTTGATTTTGTCTTTTCTTTCTTCGAATGTCAAATAACTTACACTTGTTGAAATGGACTTTGTATGTTATCTGTATCCGGTGATGTTAATGAACAAGATAATTTTGGTGAACAAGGTGTTGTTGGTGATGCACTTGACATATCTTTCGATGAGTTACGCTTATAACTCGGTGATGATGGACATCGTTTTGTAGCTAATTGATGTCGTCTTAATCGATCCGATGTTTGTTTTATCATTAAAAGATCATCTGGATCTGTATAACATTTAGCTGCTTCTAATTGTAAACGTCGAATCGTTAATGAATATGTAACAAGCATAAGTATGCATGGTATACAAAAACAAATGATTGAACCATAAATAATAAACGAACGGTTATTAAGTGCACAATGACGTCGATGATCATTTACTATGATTAATATATTTTTGTCATCAATACAACCAAGAATAAATATAATACATGATATAGCAATAGAAAATGTCCAAATAAAAAGTATTGCTAAAAACGTTTTACATTTACTTCGTTCTCGACTACGAAATGGACGCGATATATGAAGAAAACGATCGATTGAAAGAATTGTTAAATGCCATATTGATGTTGTACATAGGAGTACATCGAAAAAAACAAATAGATTACAAAATATGATAGGTAATTTCCACGAACCTAAATATAAAATATTAAAAATAAAATGAATGATTTTTCAAAATAATTGTCAGCAAATGTTAATAAGTTTAGGCGATGAAAAATAAAAAACAAACCTTAAGAAGATTATCTTAACTAAAGCCTATTCATATGATTGACATGGTTTTCCTTTTATTATATTGAAGTGTACTCAAACAATCGTCTCATTTATTTGAAAAATACTAATAGTGAAAGTAGAGCGAAAAAAAATTTATTGAATAAAATCTCTTGAGAAAACTTTTTGCGCATGGCAAAACTGCATTAAAAGAAAAGCATTATATACGTAATGTTCTTCTATAATGAAAATCAAAGAATTATTCAATAAGATACTCACTGAAGAATTCTACAAAAAAAATATTTCTTTATTAATTCAGTTAAAAGACGTGTCAAAAGTTCTTAGTGTAAATTAATGTAGAATAACGCGTTTTAAGATGGCATTTCTTATTGAAGAGCTTTCATGTTTTTAGTTGTAATGAACTCTTAACTATTTAGACCTTATTCAATAGCTTAATTATGATTGCTTTGATCTAAATTCAACATTAAAAATAAGAAACTTTCCTATATTGATGTATCATTTATGCAAAATCGATTATTCAAATAACGAGAAAAACTCAATCTCAAGTGGCCTTTGTATTTGTTTCTTTAAAATGCAATTAACAGACACCTAGTTATATCTATTTGATATATGAGACATAATACAATTTATATTCTTTTAAATAAAGATTTTGTTTTAAATTCTTACCATGGAAATCTTTAATAATTGAAAGTGGTAAAACAATAAGACTAACTAAACAATCAGCGATAGCTAATGAAAAAAGGAACCAATTTGTCACTGTTTGTAATTGTTTATCAAGTGTTATTGATATACATACAAGTAAATTACCAAGTGTACCAGTTAGAACGAATATTGATAAAGTTAATATAGGCCAGTTTAATTCATTTTTATCCGATGAAATAATATTATTTGTTAAATTTATTGTTGAAGATATATTTTCATAATCACTATTATTAAGTAAATCAAAATCAAAATGTTCAAGTGAAATCATTGATTAATCAATCAAAACTACAAATAAGAAGAAAGTAAAACATGAAAATATATATCTTCTTGATAAAACTTTCTTTTCCACTTCCAATCATCGTCTCTGCTCTTTTTCTTTTTTTTTCTCTATCTTTCTCTTTCTCTTTCATTTTTATGATTATATTAGTATTAATAAGAAACGAGAGAAAAAACAGCAACAATTCTTGTAGCATAGTCACTATTATCATTTCGATGAAAGACGACGATTACAAACAAACGAACTACTTGTGCATATGAGCAAAGAAAAGAGGCGTATCGACATAATAAGATACTCAAAAGAAAAATATTAATTAAAAACATGAATAGATTGAGGAATACAAAATGTATCGTACATTGAGACATGATGATTTAGGTGAGTTATTATAAGGGTAGTGAAATGCTTGCACCTTGATAGTATTTTGGTCTTACTTTATTTTGTCTCTTTCTTTTTTCACAATTATGTATTCTATGATCGATCGAATCAAGAGAAAATATTTTATTGATTATAACGAGGAAAAAAAATGTACGAACGATCGGTATCGAAGAAATGATCAGGCAAAGCAAAAGAAGAAAAACTACTCATGAGAAATAAATTCTTCATTTAAAATAACTCAAACTTAAAGTACAGCAAAAAAAAGAAAAAGTTCAACAATCACTCAAGTAATATGCATTTAACTGAGTTCACTTGTCATTTAAATTATTATGAGATTTATGCATAAAATAACATATTAAATGTGTATGTACATTAAGAGCATTTACGTTAAGAAAAAAAACTATTTCATAAAATTTTTATATTAATGAAAGGATTATACGGAAATAGAGCGATTAATTAATTCTTTTTTTTTCTCCGTTAAAAATAATTTATTTTTGGTCTATTTCACGAGCAACCTGGTTCTTTCAATAACATGCTGTGATGAGCATTACTATCTGAAGTAATGAGGTCATATGTAATTATTTCATAACAATGCGATTATTGTGAAAAGAAATTGATCTTACGCGTTGTTTAAAAATAATCATCGGAAATATTATTGTATAAAGAACAGCTCAAAATAGCTATGTGTAAGACTTTTTTTAATGCATATTTTTAATACTAATCATATTTAATGTTAATAAGACCAAGGGAATTTTGTTTCGATGGTTGTCAAATAGTTAACAGAAAAAAAGAGAACATTTATCTTTATTAGCTAAATAACAGAAAAAACCTATTATAAACATAAGTATCAGCTGGTTTTTTCTACATTGTTTTCATCACGCCTGTATAATCTGTCGGTATTGTTGATATTCTCGAACAGATAATCAAGCTAACAGTAGAAAGTTTTTTTCCACTTGAACAACGGTTTAGATGTTAATTGAGCTACATATATTTGAGTTTTCTGATGAACACATATGGACTTTTTTCATATTTAATTTGTTCTTATACGAAGTCAATATGTCTTTTATTTCATTTGAAATGGATAAGTTTCATAAAAAAAAATAGAAAAAAAAAAGAAAAACACAAAAACACATAAAACAAAATCAATTTGTATCTGATCTAATGTCAACTCACGTGACATAAGTCTTTACACACACATATATATGGCAAATAAAATCGTAAATCAAAGCCGAAAAATGTAAACTATAGTTTTTCTTCTTTCCTTTTCTTATGATTAATCAATGACGATATCATTAGATGAATCAGTATGATCATCACTTGATTGATTATACTCAAACATCATTAAACTACGTTCGTTCATTGATACTCCAGCAATAAAATATTCGTTTCGATTATTTAAATTATTGTATATTGAATGTACATGTAACGATTGTATTGTACCTTGAAGTGATAATGATTCATTGAGAACTTCCTTTCGATTTATATTCCATGTACGTATTCGTTGACCATCATGATCAAGTGAAAGGAAATGTCGACGATCAAGCCAACTAATTGAATGAATCTAAATTATATTAAAAAAATAAGTTTCAACAGTCCCTTATGGGAATTTTAGCATGGTTTTTTTTATGGCACAATTTAAATAAATATTTCTATTAAATGCAACAGTTTTATTATTCT